TTCATCAGTACATTAAAATTCATAAAATTTAATTTCTACTATTTTTAGTTAAAGTAAAAAATAAATAGAATATTCAATATCTTCTTCCTGCATCCTGATGAGTCATTCCATCCACCCTTGGGGAAACACATACCCTCTGGAGAGTGAACACTGGAAAAGAGGCCTATTTCTAATAGGGTGTTTTTATTTAATATTGAGGCAGTACATTGATAATCCTTATTCTCTTGTTCTTCCCTTGACTGTGTATATTGCTAATGGTGTTATCCTGACCTTGTATTTTCATACCCATTCTTCCTTCCTAATCCAGCTCTGTTTTCTCATCCATATATATAAAATATGTGTGTATATATTTTCATATATATGTTAAGTGTGTATGTATTCATATACATACATATATATATATATTTTTTTTTTTTTTATTTTATTATTTTGTTTGGAGATGGAGTCTCGCTGTGTCCCCAAGGCTGGAGTGCAGTGGTGCATTCTCAATCTTAGCTCATGGCAACTGACACCTCCTGGGTTCAAGCGAGTCTCCTGCCTCAGCCTCCCCAATAGCTGGGATTACAGGTGCACGCCACCATTCCTGGCTAATTTTTGTATTTTTAGTAGAGATGGGGTTTCACCATGTTGGCCAGACTGGTCATATACATATATATATTGCCTAGGCTGGATGGAGTGCTGTGGTGTGGACCGTGGCTCACTGCAGCCATGACTCAAGCGATCCTCCCATCTCAGCCTCCTGAGTAATCTCATCCACATTTCTTTCTCTTTTTATTTTTTAGCCAGGATGTGTTCTCATCTGATTTTTTATTTTATTTTATTTTTTTAAAGATGGGGGTCTGTCTCACTATGTTGCCCAAACTGGTCTCAAACTCCTGGGCTCAAGTGATCTGCCCACCTTCGCCTCCCAAAGTGCTGAGATTTGGGCATGAGCCACTGTACCCAGCTGTCTCATCCCTATTTCTATGGCACTTTATATAAACTTCTTTGTAACTCTAATCACACTGTATTTTCTTTTTTTTTTTTTTTTTTTTTTTGAGACATAGTCTCACACTGTCACCCAGACTGGAGTGCAGTGGTGCCATCTCCACTCACTGCAACCTCTGCCGCATGGGTTCAAATGATTCTCTTGCCTCAGCCTCCCGGGTAGCTGTGACACAGGTGCCCGCTACTACTCCTGGCTAATTTTTGTATTTTTAGTAGAGACGGAGTTTTCACCACGTTGGCCAGGCTGGTCTGGAACTCCTGACCTCGTGATCTGCCCGCCTCAGCCTCCCCAAGTGCTGGGATTACAGGTGTCAGCCACCGCGCCCAACCCTATATTGTATTTTCATTATTTGCCTATATATATTTCTATTCTATATTTATTTATCTTTGAGACGGCATTTCATTCTTGTTGCCCAGGCTAGAGTGCAATGGCACAATCTTGGCTCACTGTAACCTCTGCTTCCTGGGTTCAAGTAATTCTCCTGCTCCAGCCTCCCAAGTAGCTGAGGTTACAGGCATGTGCCACCATGCCCGGCTAATTTTTTGTATTTAGTAGAGACAGGGTTTCACCATGTTGGTCAGGCTGGTCTCGCACTCCTGACCTCAGATGATCCACCCTCCTCGGCCTCCCAAAGTGCTGGGGGCAAGCATAGAATTAAGAACTAGCTTTACTAGTATCGTCCTCTCAGCTTCAGGTTATAAGACTAGGCCTTCTTTTACTCTGGGGGTATTTTTTTCTTAAACAGCTGCCAGACATTCAGACTCAAACTGAAGCAGGATATTTCCCTTCCCTGACTCCGTCACGGGACTCATGACAGGGGTGCCCTATTTACTAAGCCCACTGCTCTCAACTCCTTGCAGGAGGGAGTAGGTGAGTGAATGAGGCAGGAACTAGAGTGCACAGGCGCTGGAACTGGCTGGCTGTTTCAGTGCCGGTGGGATCAAACTCCATTTACCCAGGAATTACAGGCGTAAGCCACCATGCCTGACATATTTCTTCCCTCTCCTTGTTGAGCAGCATGTCTTGGTTATATACTGTGATCCTATGGCATAAGTGTGCTCTGACAGAATGTTTTACCAAATTATTGGAACTAAAACTTAACCCCTATGGTGTCTCAAGCACTCTGCCTTACCTTCATAATTTTGGTCAGCCTTCGTTTTTTTTTTTCAGAAGCCTAAATTACATCTTCCTGGCCATCACCACTTTTTCCACACCAGTACTTGCTATTAGGAATACTTGGGCATAAACTATATTTGCATAGTATATACCTCTCAGAATAATTATTGTAGTTGATCTTGCTGATATTAATTTGTTAATGCTAGAAACTCTACTGGAGATACCACAGTGAGCATTTTCTATATAGGAAGTTAAGACCCTGGGAAGTTAGATGATGGTATAAGATTATATAATATTTTGGTGACAGAACTAGATTCTAGCTCTCCAAACTCTTGGTCCTTTGGGCTGCAGGAGGTTGTAGTGAGAACAGTTAGAGCAGCATAGTTGGTATAGTATGTGTGAGGGGCTTTGCTTCTTATTGTTCTAACCACTACTTGAGAGTTTTCAGTAACTGCGGAGCCTACTCTTTCAGAAGGAAGTACATTCCATTTATTTAGACTGTGACAGCGGTTCAGTTTGGCATACCAGCCACCTGATCCACACTTTCAAGGTAGTCAGATGGAGACCAGAGCTTGATTCTCTGGGAGTGAATGGTTTGGAGAATTCTGTAGGACGTTCTGCCTTGGCTGCTAGATTAGTTGTTGACTGATGTGTGATAGCCAAATAGGGTGTCAGAGACAAGGTGTGGCTGGCTACTCTGTTGATGTGCATTAGTGTGGCCTTTACAGGATCAGCTCAGTATGAACCCTGTCATTATTTGGTGGCTCATAAACTGCTTACCAAGAAGAGATAAAATTCTGAGAAAATAGATCACATTAACCAAAAGGTGTAAAGAAAGGTTTGTAAGTCAGAATACCAATTTGTAGTGGTAGGCGTATACCAGGCTGGCTTGGGATGTAGAATTTCTTGACCAAACCAGGGATTCCCCGCTGCTGGGATCTAGCATAAGATCAAAACAAAAATCAGAAGATTGCTTGCTGGGGCGGGGGTAAGCATAGAATTAAGAGCTAGCTTTACTAGTATCTTCCTGCCAGCTTCAGGTTATAAGACTAGGCCTTCTTTTACTCTGGGGGTATTTCTGTCTTTAACAGCTGCCAGACGTTCAGACTCTAACTGAAGCAGGGTATTTCCCTTCCCTGACTTCTTCACAGGACTCATGACAGGGGTGCCTTGTTTATTCAGCCCACTGCTCTCAACTCCTTGCAGAAGGGAGTAGGTGAGTGAATGAGGCAGGAACTGGAGTGCACAGGCGCTGGAACTGGCTTGCTGTTTCAGTGCAGGTGGGATCAAACTCCAGTCACTCAAACCTGCTGTGTTCTGCCCCTCGTGGGAGGGAGTGCACAGGTGAGCAGGTGCAGGAGCCAGAATGAGCACTTTTGGATGTTAGCAGGCGCAAACTCTGTGCAGGCCATGTGGTAGCATCTAGGTGGGAAGCCTGCGACTCCTGAAGCCCCAGAGGGTGTGTTTTGGTGCTCTTTTAGCTCGGCTATCCACAGATGGCTTAAGTGTTAACAGCTCAGTGGTCCTGCAGCTGCCCTCTGCCAGTGAGGGCAAAGGACCAGTATGACAGCCTTTTGTATCTGTACTCATGGCTGCTGAGCTTTTGTCCAGTGTCCAGGAAAAATGGGTCACATGAACGAATTAAAGGATGGTAAATATGGGTGACCTTATTTTTATTTATGTGAGAAGGGGAGCTAAAAATGGGACAGTGGGTGGTGGGTAGGTAATTTTCCCCTGAAGTCTGGCTGTCTCCAGCTGGATTCTTCACAGTTATGCAGTCAGGCTGTCCTTCTGAAGTCAAGCCACTTCTCTGTGACATTGAGCGGTGGTCTCCAATGTCCAGCTGTTTCTCATCTCTGCTGACTGAGTCTGGGGTCTTTATAGGCACAGGATAGGGTGGGGGCCATGGGTGGTTTAGGAAAAGGCAACATTCTCGTGGGAAAACAGGGATGTAAGTTCTCACGTTGGGCCGCAATCTCAGGCTTTTGGCTTGAAGGTGAGGCTTTGCCAGGGACCTGCCTCTAGAATTTCTCTGCCTCCTGCCCCATCACTGTATCAAAACCACCATGCTGTATTCTTACTGTTCCTCTTATTTGCTGATAGTAAGTTGTCAGAAAAGCTTTTGTCATTACCAGTTTCCTTATGAAGGGGAGAATTGGTTAAGATTTCCAGGAGTACTGCTTATTTCATATTAACAAGTTACTTGAGTAGTATTTGTTGTTGCTATTGTTGTTATGTGTGTGTTTGTGGGGTTTTTTTTGAGACGGAGTCTTGCTCTGTTGCCAGGCTGGAGTGCAGTGGTGCAAGCTCGGCTCATTGCAACCTCTGCCTCCCGGGTTCAAGCGATTCCTCTGCCTTAGCCTCCTGAGTAGCTGGGACTACAGGCGCATGCCACCATGCCCGGCTAATTTTTTGTATTTTAAATAGAGACAGGGTTTCGCCATGTTGGTCAGGATGGTCTCAATCTCTTGACCTTGTGATCCACCCACCTCAGCCTCCCAAAGTGCTGGGATTACAGGTGTGAACCACTGTGCCCAGCTGTGTGTATGTATTTTGAGACAGGTTCTTGTTCTGTTGCCCAGGCTGGAGGGCAGTGGCATGATCATTAGGTCACTGCAGCCTTGAACTTTTAGGCACAAGCGATCCTCCTGCTTCAGCTTCCCAATATGGGATTTATAGGCATGAGCCGCTATGCCCAGATTGGGTGATGTTTGAAACCTATTATTCCACATGAGATTTATTGTTTGCTACTTAATATGATTTAGCAATACTGACCTTTACCATTTTCACATTGGTTCCTGTAACACTCTCCACAAAGGACTGATGTACTGTATTTTCCACTTTCACTGAGCACTTTCTGTGGATACACTGATTTTAGTCCCTATTTTTTCTCCAGGGTCATCTAGTAGCAGGCACCCAAATCAGGCAACTCCAAAGAAAAGTGGTTTAAAGAATGGCCAGATGAAGAATAAAGATGACGAGTGCTTCGGGGATGATATTGAAGAGATCCCAGACACAGATTTTGATTTTGAAGGGAACCTAGCTCTTTTTGACAAGGCAGCTGTGTTTGAGGAGATCGATACCTATGAAAGGAGAAGTGGTACCCGTTCCCGGGGCATCCCAAATGAAAGGCCTACTCGGTACCGCCATGATGAGAACATCCTGGAGTCAGAGCCCATTGTCTACCGACGGATCACCGTGCCCCACAATGTGAGCAAGGAGTTCTGCACGGGTGAGTCGCACCAGGTCCCACATCCTGCTGGCTGCTGTTGCCTTTCTGTTAAGTTTGAAACAGAAAGACCTGGCTTCTGAGTCACAGTCTCACACTAGGAATTAACTTACATGGCTTGGTGGCTGGCCTAGTATTACTATCTCTTGGGGGTTGCATCCAATAACAGCATTCTGCCATGGTGGAGAGATAATTTCTCTACATGTGTGTTTATATCCTGTATCTAGCAGGATCTGGCCTGCTACTTATTTAGTGTGTTGTCAGTAACAACTAAAGGCAAAGAGCCTACTGTGTAGAGTTGGATATTCAGATCGATTTTCACTCTGGCATCCCTGTTACTACCCATATATTTCACCAGAATTCAACTCTGTTTTACTAATTATTTGTTGCAAAAAAAAAAAAAAACGGTTAAAGATGGATGATAGGAATCATTGGCTAAAAATAGAGTTTTAATAAATTACATTTCTTTACTATGCTATTCTTATCTCCTCTTAGCCTAGGACATTGAAAGTTGGCTAATTTCATGTAGTGCCTTCTGTAGGTCATTGTAGATAATAATCTAGTTCTATTACCCCAGTGATTATTGTTTCTTTTTTTTAGCATTAGAACCTTTTCTTCAAACCTATGGCATATTAAACAGAGTAAAGCAGCTATGAGAGAGGTAATTCACCTCATCCCTGTCACATCCCTTCCCGCCAAACCACATTACTTCTTGGAATAGGGTTTGAAAACCACTGTTATTGAATGATCCTAAGAGCTAACGGGGAAATCAGAATCATTTTAGTAAGTAGAGAAGGAATTGAGTATAATATTTTTATTTTGGTTTGAAGTTTGGAATATAGAGAATATAAATCTTGAATGCTGACAGTGGCTGTAAAAACTGTGGATACAGCTAATTTCATTTGGAGGAAAGTCAGACATGGCTTTTTTATAGATAATAGTAAGACTCTGTTGTATTTGATTTTGCTGAGTATAGTAGCTTGCATGTGCTTTCCATGTGGGAAAAAAAAAAAATAGGCCAACTGTCAGGCTAAGAAAGACTGCTAAAATAAAAAAGAAAGAAAGAAACAAGACTGCTAGGCTGGGCCCAGTAGCTTATGCCTGTAATCCCAGCAGTTTGGGAGGCCGAGGCAGGTGATCACCTGAGGTCAGGAGTTCAAGATAAGCCCGGTCAACATGGTGAAACCCCGTCTCTACTAAAATACAAAAATTAGCTAGGCGTGGTGGCACACACCTGTAATCCCAGCTACTCAGGAGGCTGAGGCAGGAGAATTGCTTGAACCCAGGAAGCGGTGTCTACAGTGAGCCGAGATAGCACCACTGCACTCCAGCCTGGGTGACAGAGCAAGACTCCATCTCCAAAAAAAAAAAAAAAAAAAAAAAAGTACTGAATTTTGTCAGTCTTTTGCTGGCAGATTCTAGTAAGCCTGCCTCTTTACTATGGTGGTTTCCTTAAGTGGCGTGACAGTGTAACTTGCCAAAGTCCTTTGATTTTTAAGACCTGTGTAAAGGCAAACAGCCTAGCTCAGGATCAGGTTTAACTTAAATTGCTAGGTTTTAAGCTTTTCAAAGGCAGCTGTCATCTGTTAAGCCTGGTACTCCTCCAGGTCAGCCAACTATCCACCTCTGACTGCTTCCCTTTTTACTGCCCTCATTGTAAAAGAAACTGCTCCTGCTGCTAGCACTCTGTATCTGTAGTCCAAGTGCTGCTGCTGAGGCTGCTGGATTGTGCAGTGTGTGATTTCCCTGGAACTATTTACACTGCAGGATTTTTTGGACTTGGGAAGATTATGATCTGCCCTGGAGTCAAGTGGCTAAGAGTGAGAATAACAGAATCGGGAAGGATTCTCAGATCTAATAGAACCTGAGAAAATATTTGCTAACATGGACAAAAGCAGAGGTAGAAATTTTTCCTGTGGCACGCTCCAGCTCCCCAACTTGATCTTCACACCTGTTTTGTTTTTAATGACTGAAGTGCAAAGTTCTCTCATATAAAATGATTTTCCTATCAATAAACATAACACAAACCACGTGTGCTGGTCCTTTGCCATAACTTGGGTGTGGCATCTTGTGGTGTTTAGTGAGCAGTTGCCCTCCACTGGTGCGTGACAATGAGGGGGAAAGAAGCCCAGGAGCTTCATGCCATCTGGTTTTTCTCCTTGTTCTTAAGAGTGACAAGGAGTGGAAATGAAGCCCTTTTGCCAAGCACTGTCTATGCCAGAAATAGAGCAAGCAGGCACTTACTTATCTTGCTGAGCAGCTTCTCCTCCAGGGGATTTTTCTCTTTTCCGGCCCCAAGGCACAACCCTCCAGCAGGTTTTCACTGAGGGGCAGGCAGTCAGCACAGAGCTGGGGACACTTTCTCCAGTGGATCTGCCATCCAACTGTTTGGATCAAAATAAGGCAAAGTAGAATACATAGAGAAACAGTCTAAGACCGTAAAGTATTAGTGTTAGGTGAGTTGGTCACCTAGTATAATTTTCTCATTTTATAGATGAGGACATGAGGCCCAGAGAGGTAAAGCCTTTTTTTTTTCTTTTTTGAGACAAAAGTCTTATTCTGTCACCCAGGCTGGAGTACAGTGTCATGATCTTGGCTCTCAGCTCACTGCAACCTCCCCATCCGGGTTCAAGCAATTCTTCTGCCTCAGCTTCCTGAGTAGCTGGGATTACAGTTACCTACCACCATGCCTGGCTAATTTTTGTATTTTTAATAGAGACAGAGTTTCACCATGTTGGCCAGGCTGGTCTCAAACTCCTGGCCTCAAGTAATCCACCTACCTTGGCCTCCCAGAGTGCTGGGATTACGGGCGTGAGTCTCTGTTCCCAGCTGGTAAAGGATTTTCTAAGCCTTATGCACTGGCCAGGTGAAGTGACCCATGAGGGTGAAGGCTGCAGTGAGCCAACATCATGCTGCTGTACTCCGCCTGGGTGACAGAGCCAAGCTCTGTTTCCAAAAAAAAAAAAAAAAAAAAAAAAAAAACCTTACCCATCACATCTCCCTTTCTCTTCTAAATGTGAATTAAAAGGAGGAAAAATACAAGAAGAGAAGGGCAGTTTAATGGCAAATAGACTACAGACAGTCCCCCAACTTACCACAGTTGGATTTACTATTTTTTTGACTCTAGGATGATGTGAAAACAATACTCATTCAGTAGAAACTGTCGTTCAAATTATGAATTTAGATCTTTTCCTGAGATAGCGATATGCGAGTCTGATATTCTCCAATGCTGGGCAGCAGCAGGAGCCACAGCAGGCAGCCATGCAGTCATGAGAGTAAATAACCAGTATCCTACAGTGTACTGTGTTGCCAAGTGATTTTGCCTAGCTGTAGGATAATGTAAGTGTCCCGAGCAGGTTTAAGGTAGGCTAGGCTAAACTGTGACATTTTTTGGTAGGTTAGGTGTATTAAATGCATTTTCAACTTAGATATGTCCAATTTACGATAGATTTATTGGGATAAGACCCATTGTAAGATGAGAGACATCCCTGTAGTCTTTTCTGTTTAGTACTGCACTCTCTCAGGAACGGACCAGCAGTTTACAGAAGTGACTTGGAGAGCTCCCGCAGCCGGGCCTTGTGGCATTCATGTCCTGGAATACCAGATACTTTATTTTCTACTAATCCTCAGAGTAGCAAAAGAACAACATGTTTATCACCCATTTGGTGATGGCTTGGGATTTAGGATTCTGGCGGCTTGCTGCTGGTGCCCTGAGTACTGACTGCATGCTAAGCGGTGTCAACAGTGCGTAAGCTGTTATTCACTAGTTGCTCACACTCCTCTTGGCAGTACTCTTTGCCAGCTGTGTGTTGTGATGGGGAGCAGTGTTGTTTTAGGTCTGTTGATGGGGAAAACACATTCAGGAAGCAACTAAATTCAGCTCTTTGTTTAACACCGATTTTTTCTCTCTGGAAAGTCCTTTCAGATTCTTTGGCAGGGCCTCTGTCTCTAGCAGTCATGGATCATCAGACATTTCTCTAGCTTGGGCCTACCGGCTAAATAATGGTTTCCAGTGGTCACACTCTGTATTGGTCAGGGTCTTTCTGGATCTAGACTTGTAATTTGAAATCCTTTGAAGACAGATTCTATGTGTGTGTGCACACATGCATGTGTGTTAAGTTAAATATAAAACACTAGATGTGTGTGAGCACTCTGTGTTCAGTGTTGAGAACTCCCCAAAGAATACTGCTTAGGAAAGTGGTAAGGCTTCAGAGAAGAATCTTTATTCAACACTCATAATACTGGTTTTAATTTTTTTTTTTTAATTTCTTTTTTTTTGAGACACAGTCTCACTCTGGCGCCCAGGCTGGAGTGCAATTGTGTGATAGCGGCTCGCTGAAACCTCTGCCTCCCAAGTTCAAGTGATTCACCTGCCTCAACCTCCTGCATAGCTGGGATTACAGGCATGTGCCGCCATGCCCATCAAATTTTTGTATTTTTAGTAGAGACGGGGTTTCACCATGTTGGCCAGGCTGGTCTTGAACTCTTGACCTCAGATGATCTGCCCACCTTGACCTCCCAAAGTGCTGGGATTACAGGCATGAGCCACCTCGCCCAGCCTAACGCTCATAATATTCTAAAAGAAATATTTTAAGACAGTTTAGGTCAGTCAGAACACTGTGTTTATTATGTGTAACTGACTCTAAGATAGTCCTTGCTTTTAAGTTATGAAAATGTAATAGGAGATAGAAAGATGCCGTATGTGCCCAGAATCCAGTGAAAGTGTGGACATTAAGTGCACTAGGGGTTGAGAGGCAGAGGAGGTCCTGTAGGCTGCATCAAGGAAGGCTTCATGATGGAAGCCTTGATACATGGGCAGGATTTCACCAGGCAGAGAGGAAGAGGAGGGTATTTATGGGTAGGCTCGGCAGGTGCTGGTGAACAGTGTGAGTAAAGGGCATGTGGGAGACTGGTCATTAGTTGGCTTGGCCAGGGCAGAGAGTTTGTGTTGGGGAGTAGAAGGAACTAAAATATAGCTGTGGACCAGAGCACAGAGGGCCTTG